GGGGGGGGGTGGGGGGGGGGGGATGGCTTATTTGGTTGAGCAGAAACTTCATTGATGAGACATACTTGCTGGATCATGATATGTAAGTGAGCATAAGATTTTATTTTGCTTATTTGGCCAAATTGAAAGACTGTCTACTAATCTGTAAATAAAACAGTCTCTGCTTTAGGCTGTTTAACCTCACCATTAAGAAAATCACAACGGCAGCCTATGTTGTTTAGATCCGAAGGTCTATAGTATGGTTTAACCTTTCAATCTTTTATTAACAATAGCTTATTTAAATTTTAATTTTTTAATCACAGTAATTCATTTAAATTTTATTTTTAACCAGAATAATTCATCACATACACTAAAAAAAAAAGCGTGCAATGCACGGGGCACACTAGTATTTTCATATACCAGTGCAGTACCAAGCAATATCCTAAGTGAAGATTCAAGCTAAAATTGCTTGATGACAATTGGAGTGATTTCTAATGTTCTGATTGTGTTTTTTCCCCCTTTTCCTCCTTGAAATTCTTGGTAGTGAGTTTTATCATCATTTCCTGATCGAAGTTATTGTTATTGACCCAAACAATTAATGGTCCTTTTAAATTTTCCAATTTCAGTTCGAGTCTCAGGGCATGCTTAGTATGTATAAGTCGTCTTGTACCTGATACCCTGGATCTGCTGTTTCAGAGGAACCCCCCCCCCCCCCCCCCCCCCCCNATGTTCCAATTCAGAAGAACTAGATGGGTAGAGAAGTTAAATTGTTCTCAATCGTAATCCGAATTCAACTTGAAATTATTCATTTTTCATATACATCCATAGATTACTGTTATAAGAAATAATAAATGACTATTCTAATTTTTTAACAATACATTTATGGCAAAGAAAAAATACTCACAAAGAAATAAAGAAAAATTATAAAAAAAAAAAAAAAAAAAAAGGAAAAAAAACTAAAAAATGGGAAGGAAACCCCCCCCAAAAGACCCAAAAAGGGCCGAAGGGCCCCCCCCCCCCCCCCCCCCAAAAAAAAAAAAAAAAAAAAAAAAGGATTATGCGAATGCAAAAATAAAAGGAAAACAAACGGAAAGGCAATATAAAAGATTCGCACATATTGGATGGTGGAACGGACGAATTTTGTCGGTAAAATTAGAGACTTTTGTACAGAAAGGAGAAGAAATTTGATTTGTTCAGTCGAAAAGAGTTGTTTACTGTTGAATTTCCCTCCCAGTGCTAAAAAAAAAATTATACGCTGTAAGGGTTTGGAAAACATAAAAAAAAAGAGATGCACTTTGGGTAGGCATTTCTATTTTGGGGATAACCAGAGGATGAAATCAACTAAGGTAAGAAGGAGGTCCTTTACATCAACTTTCTACACTCCCCTTTGGGATTAGTTATCAGCTTGAGTTTGTGCTTGATTGCCATTTTTCATTTTTTTTTTGTCGTGAAACGTAATTTTATTATTGTTTAATTTAATAAAATTCAGTCATTTTTATTTTATTTTAATGACAATCTCTGTGAGTAAAATATTTATATTATATTAAACAATATGGTATGTATGTATGTTTTTTTATTTTACATTATAGATAATCTGGTGTGTAGAGTTTAGCTTATGCATAAAAAATCATATTGTAGGATTTTTGTATGCTATGAGTAAATGTTCAGTCTTAGATGACATATAATCAGTAGGATTGTAATATAATATTCTGGTAAAATCTGTCTTGGTTATAAGAGACTGTCTGATATCTCAAATTATTGTACTAGTACACTTTGTATATTGTATAAGACCCTTTTTGAGGTTATTATCTTTTTATTGACTAAATAAGAAAATAAATTTCTCACGATTATTATGATTGTTTTTACTCTTAATCCCGAGATATTTAATAGACATGTAAATATAGTGATTGATACTTTAATTCATTAAAAAACGAGGTTCATATTTGAGTCAATAAATTCGGTGAATTAAGAGATGACAATATTTGTATGGTAAAAATTAATTATTAAAGGAAATTATGTTATGATATTTGAATGAGTTAATATTGTTCTCTTGAGAAAATTTATAAGTTTTATTCATGTAAAATTCGGCAAGTGAATTTAATTATTCGACATGATAAATAAGTTAAGTGAAAAAATTTCAAGGATAAAAAAAGTCAATTAAATATAATTGTCAGTAATTTAATTAATTAATAGACATTTGTAATCTTAAACATGGAGAGATTATTAAGATATAATAATAAGGAGTTGAAAATATAATTTTTAGTAAGACTCAAAAGATCAATAATAAATTTTTAGTGGATTAATTTATTGTTGATAAATTGTAGGATATTTGTTCTAGTTTAGATATCGAATTCCTATGTCTATTGGAAGTTCGACTTTTATTTCTCTTTAAGATTTTTACTGTAACTTATGTATAGACGCCCTTTCTAGTTTTCTCAATCATACTTTATATTCACGTTTAGAAGAGGGAGAGAGAGAGAGAGAGAACAAGAGAGAAAATTCGGATGATTATACCCCAAACTGGATTCTAGTTTTTGACGTTGAATGACATATGGTAGAAGATCATTAGGTTCATCAATTTGTATTAATTTTTGTTCGTGTTGTGATTGTCAAAGGTAAGTTATAATTTTGCTTTGTATAGTTAACAAATAAATTTTTGTATTTGGTTTATACGCAATGTCAAAGGATCTTGGGAGTCGCTTTTTAACAATACCTATATTCGATCTGAATATTACCCGATCCAAAATATATATATACTAGGGGTAAACCGTGTTTGAATGTATTGTGTAATGTGAATGGTTTTGAAAGGGATATTGGTGGCTGTTGGATTAGTTTATTTATAACTATCGGATAGCCTTATTAAAACCTACCATATTTTATATTATAAATTTCTGTATAAATATTAAAGAAATTAAATGATTATTCAAAACAAAAAATTAGTTAAAATTTAGATGTAATTTATTAAAATTTAGTAAAATTAAGTTATTTGAATAGGATCTAATTTCATATTAGATTTTTTGTTAATGGATTTGGATGTGGACCATGAAAATAAAAGTCGTCAAATAATCGGATTAAATTCGGATCGGATTGAATTTGATATTTAAAATCTATTCACATTTGAATATGGTTGGTTCAGTGACCCTGAACTTCCTAACCTAGCGTACAATTCTTTCTGCAAGGAATGATGACGTTAGTGCTATAAATGCTGCATCATTGAATATTTTTCAAGACAAACAATTACATATTTAGCTGTTGACAAAATAGCCGACGGTGATGCACTTGATCGATCTATCATGAATCGATATCCTAATGAGTATTTAAACTCATTAGACCATTCTGGGTTACCACCGTTTAAGTTAGACTTAAATGTGGGTTATCCAATAATGTTGTTGAGAAATATATCGCCAAAGGATGAGCTTTGTAATGACACCCGATTGATGGTTATCAGATGTGCCACATGCGTAATTGAAACTCAAATCATAACCGGAGATAAATTTGGTAATTTGGTCTTCATTCCAAGAATATCTTTATCACCAACATCTCTAGATTTGTATTTTTGAATGACAAGAAGTCAACTTCCTGTTCAGTAATGCTACACTGTCCAAATTTAGAATCCAAATGACATGACAACATATTATTTGGAGTTTTTATTGGGGCTCAAATGACATGACACCAAATAAAGAAGCTCATGTTAGCTGTCATGTCATTTGGGCTCTAAATTTAATCTCAAAATTTGGTCAGCATAACATTACTCATTTCTGTTTGATTGACGTACGCTATGACAATCAACAAATCTCAAGGACAGTCTGTAAAATTCATTGGGATCGATTTGCGCACACCAGTGTTTAGCCATGGACACTTGTATGTGACACTATCTAGATGCACATATTCTGATCTTATAAGTGTCCTTCTTCCTGAAGATGGGTCGAATTGCACAACGAATATCGTTTACCCCGAAGTTTGTTTATAGGACTTCTTATTCGATTGCAAATAAATGGTACTATTTCATTACAAATTTATCTTTATTGAAGACGAATAATTAAAATAATTAATGATTTGATTAACTTTGTGATTTAATATTTGTAGGATTGGTGTGAAATGACAAGAGATATGAAAAAGATTAAATAAAATTACACAACATCAATGTGGACGTGATAATAAGGTAAATTAAGTCTTTCATTCTTGCAACGAAATATATTATTTTAGATGTAATCAATTCTACTAAGATTTA